GTCATAGCGGTCGATGTGGAGGGGCTTCCAGCCGAAAGGCAGAGGTGTCACCATGCTGCCGTCCACAAAGGGATGGCGGCGAATGCTCGTCCGATTTCTAGGAGCTTGAGCCGGAGCGTTGCTGACTTCATGGATCGACCTGTTCGTTGGCGCGTGAGACCGATGTGTGGCAGGTCGGGGAGTTGGTGCCCTAGGCGCGATTGGGGGTTGAGAGACTGAGTGCCCCTCCTCTTCGTGTTGACTACTCGGTTGAGGGGGCTGATCAGAAAGGCGCTGAGGAAGCTGGGCGCGGATACGCTCGTTCTCGGCGCGCAGCGCCGCTAGGTCAGCCTCATTCGCGGTACGCAGCGCCGCTAGGTCAGTTTCGTGCTTGGCACGGATGTTTTGCAGATCAGCGGTGTGTTGTTGCCTCATCTGCTCGACTTGTTCGATCAGCCTTCTCAATGCAGCTTCGTTGTCCATGCTTGTCGTGCGATCTGCGTCGTCTGTTGCGCGTCTACTATGGCTTCGGGTGAATACCATAAGCGTGGCCAATAAGAGCTGTCTTGATCGGCCCCACGGTGGGCGCCAAATGTTCTTACCGGGAATCCGAGGTAGGGATGATCCGCTGGGTAAGATCGGTGAGCCTCCTTCACGGGTACGTTGATGCTCTAAGATGGGGGTGGTACCTGCAAAAGAGACTCTGATGCTAAAATTAGTGTTTGTGGGTGTATAAGTCTCGTATAAGTAATGCACGTACCTTTGTGTGTATTAAGGTTTTGTTGGGCCTTGGGCCCGAGATCAGTTTGTGACCTAATTGGATAGCGACCTGATAAGTGTCTAATTAGTTTGATGAAATTTAAATTTGAGACACTTATCTAGCACACTTTTTGTATATATATTGATATAATTTTGGCAAATACATTAAGAATCAAAAAGGGGCTCTTAATTTACATTATTACATGGAGTGATGAGTTTTTGATCAGATTTTTCTCTTATTTTGTAGTTTTTGAATCTGGAGGCAAACGGCTGAGCGCCTTGAAGCGGCTGAGCGCTTTCAAGCTAGAGAGCTCAAGTTATTGAATCTGGAGGCAAACGGCTGAGCGCCTTGAAACGGCTGAGCGCTTTCAAGCCAGAGAATTTAACAAATGTAGCAAAGGAGAGGTGCTCAGCGACTCTAAGGCGCTGAGCGAATTTGGCCCTGGAAGAAGTAGTGCTCTCTGCCTCCTAGGCACTCAGAGGATATGAAGCGCCCAGCCCCTTGTCCTTGCTTAACAGTGAAAAATCTCCAAGGTGCTCAGCGAATTTGAACGGCTCAGCCCTTCAGATTACTTCATGGTGAAGAATTCTTCAAACCGCTCAGCCGTTTCAAGGCGCTGAGCGGATTCTTCTCTTTCCTGCCTACTCTGTTTTAATTCTAGCACTTATAAATGGGCAGAGGAGAGAGAAAAAAGGCTATCATAAGCTGTACGAAGGGAAGAACAGAGAGGAACAAGAAAACAGAGCACTTTGGAGCTCGTGGGGACGCGATTCTTCAGAGGATCTCTTTCTTCTACCTTTCATCTTGTTGTTTTGTGATTTCTTGTACCATGGAGAGCTAAAACTCTAGGTTTGGGATTAATGTAGTCATCAAACTCCTGTGTATTCCTCCTTTATATTCCTCTTTGATTCATATATATATATATATATCATCTATTACTCAATGTCAGTGATTTGTATTCTGTTCTTAATGCTTTGATAAACTGATCATTTATCTTTGATCTTGGATTTAGAATTTGGTTGGAAAACGTTTTCTGAATCTAGACTTGAAACAAATCACCTATTAGTTTTAAGAGTCAGGGATGGTCTTGAAATTAATAGTTGCAACAAGTTCTGATTCTTAATGCGGGATATTGAACTAAATGAAGTGAGGAATCATTCATTGAGTTAAATATTTTAGAATTTCTTATGCCAAGGGATTGAGTTTGAATGAAAATAGAGAACTCAATGGCAATGAGTAATGGAATCTTTAGAAAGAATCAATAGGAATACATAGGAGGGAGATTGATGAATTTAATCCCAAACTGTTTCTCATATCTGTTTTCCTTCAAATTAAATTATCCTTTGGTTACTTAACTTTGATCAATCATTCACAGCAAGTTTCGAATATATGTACTTAATTTTCAATTCACAAGCATCAATTAGTATAATAGAAATCATAGCTTACTTCACAAGTCCCTGAGGTTCGACAACCTTTTAATTATACTACAGATACTTGGGTGCGCTTGCCTATAAATCCAACACGAGCCGATGTCGCCTAACGCGTGTCCAAGGTCACTCCGCGCTGTGATGCCGAGCTCGAGCTCGGCATAGCGGTACGGATAGTACAAATATAATTTAAAGCTGTGCATGATACATATGATACAGAAAATTTTCATTAATTCTTCTGTAAGGGAAAGATGTGATATACGCAAAGTCGGTGAACAAAGGAATCCCACAAATGACATCCGAAGAGGGAAGCCTCTTGATTGATTACGAGCTTTAACCAACCTGTAAAGAAAATAATATTATCTCAAGAAACATCGTACCTGTGTGAATGATGAAGAAATATGTTATGCTCAACTGCTAAAGTTCATCAGTACATCCTTAGATATTCAAATTATGTATATAATTTAGAAGCACTTTTAATTTCATATAAACAAGATATGATTGAAGTGTTCGGAAATAGAGTCTTTTTGAACTTTTATCCAGCAAGGGATACTTTGAAACCTGCGTACATTGTAGTGCTTTTTCAATTATGCAAGTATATATAAATTAAAGTAGATGTATATTGAACGCTTATGTAAAGAAGTGTTAAACATTTTTTAGTTATTTTGTTATATGTAGTATAACCTCTTGTGCATGTTTTTTTTGGAAGGATCTTATCCCTTCAATTCAACAAAAAAAAATTGGTGAGATGGGTCTTGAAAGTCTTTCAGTGCTTCTCAACATAACTGATGAGCATTATTCTCAGCATATTAGAATTTGAAACGTAGGAGAACTACATCATACAAATTCAATAAAGTTACACATACACACACAAACATATATATAATAATTACAAATTATTTACCAACAAAGATACTAGTCATATATGGTGAGGTTTTATCAAATATCTCATTTCACGCATTATTCTTCTATGTCATCTCAATCATTCTTGCACCAGTGCAAAATTGTTATTTGATATAGAAAGTGAATCAGCGATAATTTTGTAATTTAAAACATTTTTTTTTATTTCTTCAAATTAGAAGCGATGTATACGAAATTTTTTAATATCGGTTTGAATTAATATTAACCGTTGTAATTTATGTTTAAATTTGAACAAACTATACCTCCTCCAAAACGTGAGTTCCAGCTGCGAAGTTAGAAAAAAAAAAAAAAAAAAAGGTTACAAATCTTAGAAAGCAAGGTTGTTGATTCAACTATCGGTGTTTAGAGTTAACTCACATGATTTGGTTCCTAAAAGTGATACTTTGTGTAATCTTGATCCTGAATTTCATTTACACAATTTAATAGGAGTATTTAATACATGATAATCCAAACCAATCCAATTTAAATTTTTTGATTGATCAAGTCTAACTTAAACTAATTCAATAATGATTACTTTGAGTATAAGCTAACCTCTTTATATTTTAAATTTTATATTATTATCTTATTACTAATTTAAAATAATTTATACTCCTTATATTTTATTTCATTGTGAGTCCTTATTAAAATCATAACACTTCCCTAAGTCTTTGTATGCAAATATGTGCGTGTCCTAGCTAACAGCTATTACCAAGCCCCAAATAATTGTCCCCGTCAACCCTCAACGGCGAACGGTCACTCCTTAGTGTCGAACACTCGAACCTCCTCAACCTAGTCTAATTGTCACAAATTTAGTTACGTTGCGTTCTCTTGAGAACTCGTCTTTACTAACTCATAATTTTTTAGATTATAGACAAAAAGTAATTAAGAAATAAAATTAAATCTCAATTGTAGATTCTCTATTATAAGATTATTATTATTATTATTATTATTATTATTATTATTATTATTATTATTATTATTATTATTATTATCAATTTTATAATTATCAATATCATAATCACACATTCTCGTAATCATTGTCGTCTCTATTATCACCGTCGATACCATTGATGATAGTGATAATAGCTATAAATACTAATAATAATAGTGATGTTAGTAGTAATATTAACGGCAATGTCATCACTATTATTATCATCATTGCCGTTGTCATCACCATGTGACATAAATGACGATGATAACAGAAAATGATAATGACAATAGTAACAGTGATGGTTATGATGATATTGATATATTTGTAAGAGAAATAATAGTGTTTATAATTGAGTTTTAATTTTATCCATTAATTTTTTTTTACTTAATTTACTTATGTCATTTATCATATTTAAATATATTCTGTTTGATATGTTCCTATGTGTGTGTAAGAGAGAGAAATAATAATGTCAAGATTAAAGTTATTTTTTCAAAGATATGGTTCCATATCTAACTTTTTGTGTTATATATATATAATGAGAAAATCATTTGTATTTGAGAGGGAGAAAAATAAAAACTGTTCATCAAATATAGAAATTTTTAAAGAATATTATAATTTTAGTAAGTGATTCTATGCTTTAAAAAAAATAAAAATTGACGATCGACGGTTATGTAACTAAAATTTAACTATCTAAGTCTGGTATTTTTTTGTTTCCACGGATATTCCTTAACCTAGGAGGGTAGATGGGAGAGTTTTGGTACATAAAAAAATGGTTGTATGTTATGGTGTACGAAATATTTGACGTAAAGGCTAAGAAAGTAATTGGCGATCTTATCCTATCATCCTCGAAGATGTTTTGGTTTAGGATAGTTAAAGTTGTAGTTTGGCCCTGATCCGATCCGACCCGACCCGAAACGGGCACAGTAAGTTGTGCAGCAGTGCAGTGGTAGTGATGGAGAGATCTTCTTTTGAAGGTGATATTCATAGGAATTGAGTCACACTTGCGTGTGCCAGCTTGCAAAACTTGGCATCTGCCTTTTGATTGTAGCTAGCTGCTAGCCCCATCTTCACGTGATCTGCTTCAACCCGGCCTCTTTTGTTTGCTTCTCCTCCTATAAATTAATCATCCTCTCTCTTTACCATCTCCACTACACCACTCCTCTCTCTTTCTCCATCATGGACTCCTCAAAGATCTATGCCTACCTCTTCCTCTGCATGCTCCTCATCTCCTCTGCCACCCCCATTCTCGGCTGCGGCTACTGTGGCAATGGCAAACCCCCCAAGAAGCACCAACCCAAACCAAAGACACCTGTTGTGAGGCCTCCAGTCACAGTTCCTCCCATTGTCAAGCCACCAGTTGTTATCCCTCCCATCACAGTGCCTCCAATTGTGAAGCCACCAATTACACTTCCACCAATAGTGAAGCCCCCAGGCATTCTCCCCCCGGTGCTAAACCCACCATACACACCTTCACCATCACCAGGGAATAACAAGGGAACTCCATGCCCTCCACCCAAGTCCCCAGCACAGGCTACATGCCCCATTGACACGCTCAAACTCGGTGCCTGTGTGGATCTCCTTGGTGGCTTGGTCCACATTGGTTTGGGAGACCCCGTTGCCAACCAGTGCTGCCCCGTGCTTCAAGGACTCGTTGAGCTTGAAGCTGCCGTTTGTCTTTGCACCACTCTTAAGCTCAAGCTTCTCAACCTCAACATTTATGTCCCACTTGCTCTTCAGCTTCTTGTCGCTTGTGGAAAGTCTCCTCCTCCTGGTTACACTTGCTCCCTCTAAACCAGTTAAGTACCCTAACTCAACTAAATCTATCTTCAACCCTCTACCCCATTTTTGGTGCTTAAATAACAATATCTAACCATTACCTAGTGTAATTTCTGCTACTCAACTTTTAATCTTCACTTGCAAATTTTAGTGTTTAATTAGTGTTCAATCATTTAGCATCATGCAAGTTTATTTCCTTTTGGAATAGTGATATACCATGCATGCTTATCTACTTTGGCTTATGTTGTTTTTCTTTAAATCTCTATTTTGGGAAGCTAATTAATTGTTACCCATGCATGTTATTGTTAAGCATGTGACCAAGAAACTAAAGGTTTTGTTGAAATAATGATCATGATTGGATATACTTTTTTAAAAAGACCAGAGATTACTTGACCACGTCATTAATAGCAGGAAAAGTTGTCCAAAACCTAACTTTCCTATCCGTTTAAATACATTTTGTTAAATTAATTAAAATTAAAACATGTCAAGTGGAATACCAAGATTTGCGCGTAAAAGTTATAATATATTATGTGTATAATTTCGGATTAAACAATTGAATAAAGAAATATTTCCTCCGATTGTTCCCAAATAAAAATAGTGTAAAGCTTTTTTATGAGAAATTTTCAATTTTTCCATCTGTCGACTATTCCTTTAATTTTCTTGAAGCTGCTGCATATATGATTATGAATGTTGTAGTCGAGCATACTTAGTAGCTAGATCACATGGATTTATGGATGCGTGATTTAGTTTGCATTTGGTATGAGTAAAGCAATATGAATATCGTCCTATTTTCTACCCGTGAACTTGAAATCTTTGTCTCATTGTATGTCACGGCCTATGCTTTACAGGTGATGAAAAGATTGAGGAATATATGGTCAAAATCGACATGAGAGGATGTCGAGCCACTCCAATCTATCTCTCTTCTCTCTCCTTTGATTGGAATTGCTGTTGTTTCTTTTGCTATTATTTGTAAAACCATTTGTTTGATGCATGTATGTTTTAATCCTAGGCAAGTAGCAGCAAGATGCTTCTCTGTGACATTTTTAATTATTTATATGAATTGTGCTTTGTTAAATTTATCTCTCTCTTGTTGTATAACATTTGCTTCAGTTGGGGATCTGCTGTTCCATCTCCAATCTCCAAAGAAAAAAAATCTTAATTACCATATGTGGGCATCCAAACAGATCATATAGACATTTACAGTTTTTGAGAAACGTAAAAGTATTTACCGAAGGAGTTTTTCCTTTTATGTTCGCTAGATATTATTATCCTACACTCATTTTGAGGGGTGTAAGGAGGTAAACATCCATACTTTAACCATATTAACTTTATTCAACTTAAATATACTTTAACGGTAGTTTAGCTTGGATCATGGAGTTGGGTTTATTTTTGTTATCTTCTAACGTATTCAATTATAATTGCCTAATCCAACTTAAATCATTTTCAGGCCTAGCTATTTATTTTTCTTTTGTTTATTATCGTTTTTCTTCACATCATATCATATAGAATATTTACTATTTTATCTTTTATTTTTTTTTCCTCATCTTTCTCTTTTTTTAACCATATATGTACAGCCCAAAAATAAAGTATACATTGATTATTTTCTATACTTGTTTGAAAAAAAAAACAGCGTTGCATAATTTTATGGAAATTATAAAACAAATAAAAAATAATTCATAATTTGTAAGGGCATATAAGTTTCTTATTAATTTTACAATATTTGATACAAGTATAATTAAATATACACTTATTCCCAATCATTTGACATTTTTATTTACAACACTACATACTATTTTTCTCCCACCAAAATAAATAGAGAATAGGCAGTGATATACGAGTTCCACAATTATTCTTTTTTCTTTTTTAAATCAAAAAACGAGTTGTACTATATATGGTTGACAATGTGGTGGGAATTGAGATATTATTCGCAGTCTTAACTTTAGGGTTTTAACTTTATACTGTTATTATAATTCTTATGATAAAAAGAAAAAAGAAAGTGACAAGTGCAAAACACGTGTTAAATTTGTGAGTGTACGAGTGACCTTTCCTTCCAAATAATTTGGTTAAATTTTCAATTAATTTGAATAGGTATAGGTTTTAAAAAATAGATTCAATATATTTTAAAGATGGGTTGAAATTACATCTTATATTACCTTAAACTACTCTAGGTAGTGTAAATCACTAAAATCAGTAGTAGTGAAGTAAAAGTTAAGATAAATATATAAAATTTTAAATTTAATCATTCTTACTAAAAAAAATGTGACATATATTTTATAATAACATAATACATATATTACTAAAAATTAATTTTAGTCACATAATAAATATAATATATATTAATATATTAATATATATTGATATATTATTAAAAAGTATAGATATAATTTATAATAACACATAAAATATATTGTTAAATCTCATTTAAAATCAACATTAAAAATGTGTGTAGCTATATATCAAATAAATATATATTTACATATATATATACATATAGTAATGTATGTTATGAAATATTTTTTATAATATTTTTCATTATTAACTCTTTTTTTTGTTTTATTAATTAAATTCGATATCAACTAGATTATAACAATTATCATATTCTAAATCCTTTGCATGTCTTTAGCCGGATCGGTGTTATCAAAACTTTAGATCGGATAAGATTTACATCCCACCAATTCCATAAACATTGCAAGTTAATTAATTAAACTATTACTTTTAACTAGTATTTGTATTTAAATATTATATAATAACAGTACATAGATTTCTGATTAGTTAATTAAACTATTACTTTTCTCAACACATACTAATAAATAAAAAATTGACACTGTATATAAAAATTATTAAGAAATTATACTCACTAATAATTGTTTTGATTTTAGAAAATAGTTATTAGTTAAAAGGAACCTGTGTATAATATAATAATAAGTGAAATGTTAACAACAATATATTTACTAAAAATAATATATTTTCTGTTTTAAATATACCATTTATTATTAATTAATATTTATTAAAAATTACAAGTGAATTCCATTTCTTAATAAATTATAGTCATTATTTTATATTTTCTAACACATTTTTTTATGGTCTCAAAAACAAATTTTTTTATTATTAACTAAAATTTGCTAAAATTAAGTAAGTTTTATTCTTTGTTTAATGAATTTCACTTATGATATTATAATTTTAAATAAATTTTAACTAATAAAAAAAAGTGTCATAAGTAATGTGTTAGATAATTTCTATAGAATTAGAGTTTTTTTTCTTAATTACTCTTTTGTTTTTTATAATTTCACAACTTTAAATTTTAATCCTTATAATTAAAAAAGATTTATTTTATTCTTTATACATATCATTTTTTGTCTCTCTTAAATCTTGTTATCTGTTTTTATAAGAATTAAAAGGTAAAATTTATATAACTATAAAGACTTAAAAAAAATTGTATGTATTGAATTAAAATAGAATATTTTTAATTATGCGGACTAAGAAATAAAAATCATAAAAGTATAGAAACTACAAGAGTAATTAAAAAAAAATTTAATGATTGAGTTTTAATCAATTTTTTTAAAATATGATTAATTATTAATAATAACGATCAAATACATTTTTCTCTAACTTGATAGTTTGATGTAGTAATAATTAAGTACCATATGTTCTCACATTATGGGAATAATTTATTTAGTAGAGAATCTCATATTCGATCTCTAATAAATTTGAAAACTTTTCAAGTCAACGATAGTTACCATACCACAAATGAAATTAGTCTTTGGTCAATTGGATTGAAAATACCATGGCACAACAAAAAAAAATATATTTATTAGTGTACCTGTCTAAGGGCACACTCGTAATCTTCTAGTGATTGGAGGGCTGAACGAGAGCTTCGGGTTGATACTTCAGAGGGAGGAGGTACCTGCAAAAAGCACTCCGACGCTCAAGTCAGGACAAACACGATTCTCTAGGGTAATAAAATGAACAGTGACATACCTCGTTTCGTGTGACTTATTTATAGTACCTGTCATGGGCCTGAGCATGGTGGGCCTTCTCTGAAACTTATCAAATTAGGTAATACGATGCTAATCGGCTGGTTATGCTTTAATTACGTGTTGTCCCTTGTTAACCATGATTACCGTTATAATTATTTTGTTGGTCCTTGGCCGAGCCGATAGGGACGGTCGAGAAGACTTTTCGGCCAATGGCCGAGCCGATAGGAGAACGGGCGTTCTCTGAGTTCTTGGCCCCTTACCGAGCCGAGGTGATGTCTGAGCTGCGTCAATGTATGATTGGACATGACGTGCCGGTCCACGTGGCCGATAGGATCCTTCCAGTACATATTTAATTAAGAAAAACATACAATTTTTTTGTACATATTATTCAACGTTCTTATGATATTTATCTTTTCTTCACAAAGATTAAAACCCCACCCTCCAGCCTCTCACCGGACCAACACTGACCACGCCCCCTTCCCTTGAGTTCATGCTGAGATTCACGCATCAGAAGAAAGGTTGCCCGTGCTTGCCAGAACCAAAACAAAACTACATTTTTAATGCCACATATTAAAGTGTCCGACCAATATTACTACAATCTGTATTTTTCAAAACTTGTAAAACTCATAGAAAAGTTGCTGCAAATTAAAAAAAAAAAAAAAAAAAAACTATCGCAACATTTATTATAATATATATTGATTATGCAGGGATTAAAAAAATGCTATCGCGAAGTTTCTTATATTTTTTTTTATTAAAATTGATCAAAATAAAAGACACTTCTAATATTATTGAACAGAATATTGAGACCAAAAAGTCAACTACAACACATTTCTTATATCGATTATGTATCAACTGGTATGTAATAAGATTCTATTGTAGTAATTAAATAAATTTTTTTTTGTATTTTAATCTATCATATATGAATTTTTTTCCTTCTTATAATTGAGTTAGGAAGATACTTGATAAGCTTAATTAGTTGCTAGAATAATTTGTTAGTAGATTGTTTTTCCTAAATCCGTGAGGGGATGAATTTGGGACATAGAATGACGTGTGATTCCATTTCCACCTGATGGAGAGAGAAAGGGAAAAGGAACCCTGGTTTTGGTTTTCAATGGGCTGTGAAAGATTCCACCACCCTTTGATTGAAGGGATAATGGCATTTTTAATATTAAAAAGAAATAGACAAAAGCAGTGTGGTAGTGCTACAACATAATTCACGAAAATAGCGTTGTCCAATTTAGGCATATCATGTCACTGTGACTATCAGAATTCACAAAATCTGCAAATTCATTGTCACATATTCTCCTAAACGACACATTAATCAATATCCTAATTTGCTGCTGAAATGTATGCCCCCACACTTTTCACTACGCCCTGTCCCTCACGACCCATATTAATCACATGACACTTCATGCAAATATCTTTCCTACTTTTCTTATTCGGGGATATTCTTGTCTACCCTCACTTTATAGATTTAACTAAAGATATAAATTTCAAAGTTGATTTTGCCAAACAAGTTTTATTTTAAAATATCATTTTTAAAATAAATTTAAAATGTTTTTATTCGATGATAAAGTGAAATATTTTTAATATAATATATTTATACATACAGATTTTTTGACACTAACTAAATTTTAATTTATTTATATTTACAACAATGAACCGAAATATTGGAAGAAAATATTGTTATAAAGACACGTGGAAAAATAATCGTATCGTCTCATGGATGATGAACAAATTTAATAAAACTTTTAAGTTCATAAACTAAGATTGTTAGTGCAATAAAAATAGATGAGGGGAATAGAGAAGAAACAAGGGTTTTTATAAGATTCATTTTATAAATGGAGAATATGTCTAGTCTTTGACAGGAATAAAAATAAAAATTTTCACTCACAATATAATGTTTGTGTTCCAAATTGGGGGTGAAAAATTGAAATGAAGTGATGAATTCAAGTCGACTATAAAAATTATCATTATTAAAAACTGATTTGTTTTTAAAAGAAACTAAACTATAAAAGTTGAATTATTTTTATAATTGAGTAAAAATTAGAGATGTAAAAAATATCTATATTGATTGATTGATCCAAAAATTTAATAGTTTGAGCGATCTAAAAAAAATTGTGTCAATTTGATCAAGTCCAACAAATCAATCAGATTAGGTCAAATTACTAATTTTTAGACTTAAAATCT